TTCAGCTCGTGCTGCAGATTTCATGCAAACCTGATTCAGCTCCACACCTACAGCGGCTCCATCTGGATCCGTGTTAGGGGTCCGGAGGCTAAAACGCTTGATGTGGGCCAGATGTCAGGTATGTCATGATATCTGAACCACATCTGGCCCACCTGACATTTCCCACCCGCTGTGTGTCCACTTCATGTACCCCACTTAGGTTCAGTCAGCATTCAGCCAGCTGTGTGTGGCAGGTCCACACTTAGCCTGTACGGCAGCAAAGGGGGGGGGGGGTCTACGTTCACAAGTGTCCCTTTTTGTCCCACGTTGGTCCACATTTAACCATGATGGATTTTGTCTCAGGTAGTTCAGCAGTTAAGGTCTGCCTGCTGAGACTCACCCACACACGGGGTAACATGGTTAAGTGTTGTACCCAGACCCCTCCACACATGTGGCTCCACATCTGTCCTGGTTTGCCCGTTCGGGTCCACATTCAGGCAGCACAGCAGTCCACCTCAGCATTAATCATCGAATGAATGCGGTCCACGAGGGCCTGCAGGGTCGGTTTAGCTCGTGTGTCGAACACGCGGCGCGCTCGCAGCGCTGAAGGGAAGCACAAGGACAAAGAAAGGGTGAAGCACAAAGACGCAGCATTAATATTCACCCGCAGCCGTTACTACGGCGCTCATGAATTATTGCTGGCATGTAAAGGTCTACAGAGAGGAAGGGGAGGCCCGCGCCCCCTCCCCCGCCCGTTTCCTCCATCAGCATCTCTGCTCGCTGTCACCATGAGAAACCACTGGGGTGTTGCCTAGCAACAGCAGCAGCAGACAGCCCGCAGCAGCTGTTTGTGATAGTTTCTGAGCGATTAAATGACAGAGGGCGAGTTGACAGCGGCGCCCATTTTATCCCCACCCACCGCCACATTTCCAGCTTCAGCGAGCGTCACGACTTTAGCTGAGGGCGTTTGGACCGTCTGAGATGAAGGTCAGACCAGGGGCGACTCTAGGATCAGAGCTTTGGGGGTGCTGAGCACCCAGAGAGCTGCCCAGCCAGGCAACTTTACTCGTCACGATGAGACGTCTTCCCCGTCTCTGTCAGTCCTGCATCCTTAAATGTCTCCAGTTGTCCCGAGTTCTCTCTGACTGTCTCCTTGGTGCATTTAAACCTGTTCCTC